AAAGGAAAACAAGAAGCTATCTAAAAGTAATAATAAAATGCAAATATGTCAGCCTGCCTAAATGGAATACGGCTTAAGCATGGAACACCTGTGGCTGGAATAATTTTCTGTAAATGTCTTGTTCTCTCCATCATTTACAGAAATAATTCAGGCTCCCAGTTTAAGTTGGAAGAATTATTCATCAGATGTCTAAATTAATCAACATAGTTGGTATAATTGCTGCCTTGCTCAACATGTTATTTCATGGATAATGAATATATTTTTATTATTAGTGAAATATGATATTGCTTTATAGGCTGCACAATATATTTATGAAATTAAATTAATGGCAAATACACTACAAGATGATCCATTTGCTTTTAAAACTACATATGCAATTTCATAAATATGTCATCACTGACTATGTTAGCTCTCAGACTGTATAGATGATCAGATTGTACGGAAGACGGTTTATCTCTTTTAGTGAGATAGGTGTTGGGCAGAAACCTAGATCAGCAACACCCAAAATTAGTGTCATAAATCTCTCCACTATTACTTTTCTTGTACCATAGCCTCAGCTTAATGTGGTCATTTCAGTTTCTTCAGTTATTTACAGCAAAAAAGGCCACAGAAATGATGAGCAAGAAGATTGCCATTTTATACTCCAGCATATTTTTCTAGTACCATGAACTAATAAGGATATTAAAGCAAAACAGTGCTATAAAACAGAGAATACATTCAAATGGAACCAATTTATCTCTTTAAGGTGATAAGAATAAAGATTTCAGAAGACCACCATGGGAACATTTTGTTAGGTCTACCAGAGGGTGCACATGCTTTTAGTACATCTGAAAAAAAGACAATGAAAGTAGTATTAAAGTTCTCCTGCACAGCGATCTGCATCTTCAATGACCTTCTTTTGACACGTATTCACAGCAAGAGCCAAATGCCTAATTTGAGGATTTGCAGTGAGCTTTCTAAATTACATCTATATACGATTTATTTGATCATTTGTAAGAACTGAAATCCATGCACCTTTAAGGAAAGGAAAGTGAGAAACCAAAGTAAGTGAAAATAGGCTTAAAAGACAACTGACCTTTTTCCACTTCATTCAGATTAGCAGCTTGCAGTGACAAAGACAGAAGAGACAAGAGACTTTTTACATTGTAATACAACAGCATAGCACATTAAGCTAACACACAACTATAGCAGCAGAGAGGTTGATATAGCAAAATGAAGCAAGCTTCAGAGTCTCACCTACAGCAGAGCAAAACAAACAGAAAAGGTAAGAAGTACATGCCACTGGTGGCATAAGAAAGATTTTACTTCTGAATCAGTTAGATATGTGATCTAATGACTGATGAAAATGGGCAAGAGAAATGATCATCTGAATCTATAGAATGCACATAAAATGACCTGAAGTTTACTAAACTGAGATTAAAATAAAGGAGATGACAACGTTAAGAGAATAGCAAAGTTAAAGAGTGCAGGACATAGGTATTTTTATTTCTCAAGGTTTCATCAGACACCCTGAGTGTCTGCTGATTCCATTTGCTTACTGTTGTTTCACAGTTGCAGTCTGCGATCTTAAGAAAGCTCACAGTATATAGTGCAAATATAATTTCTTTGTCTTTCCACCTGTAACTGTGGAGATAATTCTAAAATTTAACTGAGGCAGAGAAACATGGATTAATTCCCAATTACTAAGCACCATCATAATCAGAGAAGTAAAAAAGTGACTGCTTTTACATTGCAACATTCTTTATAACATTTTTCATAGCTTTTGTACGTATTTTCAGAGTTAATTTGAGATTCTAACAAGCTCTCCACCTGAAAAATAAAACTTTAAAGAAGAATGATACCAGCAGGTTTCAGCTGACTTCTTCCTTATACTGTGCTACTGAAATGTATAACATATTTGCAGATAACCATTCAGCCAGAAAAATATTCTAGGCTAGTGCACTTCCACATTCAGTACATATATGCTGTGACATCTTGAACACAGACAATTCAAAGTATTTCCAACAGAATTAAAAGAGAATAGGATGAGCCTATGGTGGTATTTTCATGGCATGTATACTATCCCACTCTGCAGCAACTTACAGCTCATTGACTTTCTGAGCTAGAGATAAGTATCTCTGAATTTAAAAAATCTTTTAACCTGCTGAATATATAGCTTGTTCTCCTGATTGTTAACCTACTTTTGCCCAGCTAGTACCTGATCTCATTTAGTGAAAAATACCTTTCATAAAAAAACACATTAGCAATATGCACATCTGATTTTAACCTGTTAGAATAGACACCAAAATCCAGATGTTTACAATGTTCCTCATGAAATTCACTGTATCCATACTGGACAGGGATTCTGTGATATATCTTTCAAATCAGGCTATAAGCCAGAGGAGAAAAACTAAAAAAATCCTATAAATAATTTGGTACCTCATACACACTTGAGGCAACTGCAACATTACTTTATATTCTGAACACTACCATTTCTATGTACTGATGTGTCCAGACGACTGTCAGTCAAATTCTTAACGCTGGAAGTTATTTCATTATTATGCAAGATCAAGGATAATGGACATGAAGACCCCTTGACTACCTCAATGTTTTATATTTTCTCCTTACAATAAATCTCAAAAATTACTTAGGATATCACACATCATGTCCTATCCTCATATGCTTTCTCAGAGAGTATACTGTAGAATTCTGTACTGTATCCTGTGGAATGAAAAAACTGAACTTTTGCTACAATTTTTGCCCAAGTTGTTTACAAAATGAATTGAAGCTCTTGGTGTTGTACATTTTAAAAAATCCGTTTGTTTTGGCAAGGTGTTGAAAAAAATCTGATGAGATGGTGTAAATTCTCAACATTTTTTAAAAAGCAGCACAGTTAAACTTAGTGATTACAAGTAGATCGATTTATTTTATAGTTGGTGAGATGCTTATCTACTCACTTCTGTAGCAATTATGAGTAGGCATTGCATCTGTAAAAGCAAATCTTTTTTCCCAAAAAAGTTACAGTTAAAAAAATGCACTTGCTATGTAAACTCATAGTATTTTCCTTTTAGAATTATGCACAATTATGAATCAAATTAAAAAATACACATCCTTGTATTTTGAGTGAAGAAGTACAACTGCAATACAAACGTCAAAAATGTTACCAGTGCTTATTCTCCTTTTTTCTCTAACTGTGTAAATGTATGGAGAAATGCTACAATTGCTGGTCCAATTGTAATTGCAAAATTTACATTTCAATCACAATACTACAGAAATGCAACAGGTACACTTAATCAAAGTTTTAGGCTAGCACATGTAAACAAGCCTTTATATCCACTTCATGGATATTTAATACAGAACAGTCCTTCCCATGGCATACTGTGAATATAGCAAGCCATTGACTCTAGCAGTTACATGCACTCAAGAGCAATGTCGAAAATGAAGAAATGAACACCTGCAAAGCTGCAGAGGAGGAATGCAATTGCAAATGAATTGTCTGCTATCTAACAGACATATGAAACCTTTCAGCATGAAGCCACTGAACACGAATACCAGACTGATGTGATTTTGGTTTGCTTTCTTCCAGTCAACCTAGCAGACTAACTCATCCCATTTTTAAAGTAGACAGTGATTGATCCCAGGGGAGCTGAAGCTTGACTCACATATACCTGAAATAGCTGTTGTCGAAGAAATAGCAAACACTTATCTCATTGATGCTGTTACCTGTTATTTTCTAAAGCTTGAATTGTCAATTGCTCTTAGGTATTAAGGTATCAAGCAAAACAGTATTTTGCCTAAGCAGATTATGTCTGTTCTTCCAGATGTGGACCATCCACTTATTACTAGTACATACCTTATTCTGGTTAGTTATACTTTTAACCTCTATTGCAGTGCATATGATAGCTCATTCTGTATGGAGAAGTTTCTACGAAGTATTTACCCAGCATATGTACTGGGTGAATACATGTATTAGATTATGAAATTGCATTTCTTATACTTGTGTTCTATCATCTTCACTCTCTGTGGGTTTCCAAGATTTAAATATTAACTTTATGTCTGAATGCCCTGAAACATTTGAACAATCCAATAGGTTGTAGAACTAATAATGGAACTACCTTGGATTAAACAGGAGTTGGCCGTGTTTTCAATAAATGGAATTAACTAAAGAGTTTACCTCTCCTCACAGGTTTCCAGAGCTCAAACCTGATAGATTAAAATAAAGATATAGGATGGCTGAGTAGCGTTAATTCCCAAGTGATGATGTATTTTACATTTCCTTTTTCGTGTATTTCAAGTCATGGCTTTATGAATTTAAGCTCTGTGTTCTCGTAGTGGTCAGCTAGCTGTGAGAAAATAGATCTGTCTAGTTAGAAAAACTATGAAACAGATCAGTGTAAACAATAGATCCTACTTATTCTCCAGTGTTGACGTTCTAACTATCCTCCGTTCCCACAGAGATGATGACAGCAAGCAAGAGACCCTCTGTCCCAAAAAGAGGGAAATGCTTTGGCCTGTCTGCCAACTGATAGAAACAAATAATTAGACACTCACTAATAAGTTGGGTTTTTGGTTTGGCTTTTCTCTGTGATAGAAGAGAAAGCATCACACTCTGTATTATTGTTTCTAATGCAGGACAGGACAAAAGCCAGGGGTACCAAATTCAGTTCCCTACTGGCACAGACACATGCTTTTCTGTATACGAGGTAAAAGTAGAATATTTTTCACATTTCTACACCTACAGAGGTTCTTCACTGGGATGTCTGGGTTAGGTAAACAGTAGGGAAGGACACATTTTGAATGATCTTTTAAATATCAAAATTCTCTAATTTCTAAAGTAACAAAGGAATTAGTGAGTGGCCATTAAGTCTACTTTTGACTGCAAGCCATATAGGAGAAAAATATAGAGGTAAACTTGGCTTTAAGTCAACTAAAGAGTAACTACTAATTCACCTACAAACTGAAAAATACTATTGTTCTGATAGGAATTCTTGAATTACCTATACTTCCTCTTATACTCCTACCTGTATATTCCGGTGGACAAAGGCAAGTATAGTTATTAATTCCATCCATGCAAGTAGAATTATTTTCACAGTCATTGTCTTCACAGTCATCAACATTTACTTCACAGTTTTCACCTTCGAATCCATCTGCACAAGTGCACCTGTAATACAAAAACAAAACTAACCACATTGACATTTTAGCTGGGGAGGCCAGGCATGAAGTTCTGTAACTAATAGGTACAATAATTGATAATCATCATACCACAAAGAAACACAGCTGATATAATGTAAAAAAAACCCCAAAATAATAAACACTACCAAAATATATTTCATATTTTAAATTACAGGAAAAAGGCTTCTAAATTTGTGCCTTGTTCTTTAGGTTAAGTTGCTTCTTAAACCACTGAATAGTCCTTCTGAAAAGCATGCTACCTTTATATTATAAGGTTAGATTTTATTTCTTATGGGAAGTGATCCTTTTGCCTTTATTAAACACATGGAAAAGATTATGGAATCAGGGATTAGTATGTAATAGTAGGATTCCAACATCATTCAGTTAAATGCACCAATCTAAAGCTCGGTTTAATGTTCTATGCACAATACATGAACGAATATATAAAAAGAAAGCCTGTATAAAACTTCAAAGCAGTAATGATTTTTTGTTTTTAAGTATGTCTATACAAAAAAACACATCAAAATAGATAGCAAGTGTAAAAGATCACTGAAACATGACTACACATACATTTTCATGTAAAATGCACTATCTATAATTTCTGCAGCTTTCATTACAAGATTGCTTTGATTTTCAAAATAAGTAGCGTTTAAACAAATAAATGGAAAAGGTCAAATTCTGAGACATGACTATGTCAATTTAAATTCTAGAAGCATAGTATGAAGATGTATACACTTAAATTTTAATAGAAAACTATTTAATCTTTGGGCAGAATTTGGATTAAAAAATAAGAATAATGTCATAATGAATTGCAGGATAATGAATTGCATCTTTTTGAAGTGTCACTTCTAACAAGCTTGAGGTGTAGATTATTAAATGACTAATAATTTCACATAAGAATGCAAAAGAACTTTATTTCATAATTCATGAAGTACATCTGGAGTAATTGTACTGTGTGATTAAATAACTCAAGATTAAAAATGCTCACAGCATGTTTATCTGCTGGCATAGTGAGTTTCAAATGAATCATTAATTTTCTGTTTCACTGGGATTTACATTTTATCATTTACATGCTGTCTGTTGAAGTAATACACACAACAACAGATGAATTGTGAGATTTTTTTCAGCAGGGATCTAGATAGCTATTAATTAGCATAATGGAGTCAATACTGTGTTGTCTTGACCTGATATGCCTCCACTAATTACAATCATTTGTTATTGTTTTTAACAGTTTCAGAGCTTTAGAAGCTTTCCAAGGACAGCAACATGTTCTGAAAACTTAAGAAACACTAAAAATCTGCCTTTGTGGTGCACTTACCAGCAAACAGAGAACCCAAATATTAACACCAAAATTATTTCAGCATATAAAACTCAGCAGTTTTCCATCCTGTTATCACAATTAAAAGCAACCTACCAGAAACCTTCTTTTTCTCCTTCTTTCAAATGACAAGTTCCGCCGTGATGGCATGGGTTACTAATGCAAGCATGAATGGGAATATCACAGTCTTGACCCTATGCAGGGAAAAACAGTTATAATTTAAGAAGAACGTACAGACAGTAGTGGAAGGGAACCAAATAAAACTCAAAGGTTGTTAAGAAGCAGCTTACATTTCAGTAAGCTTTTTTCTCTTCATTCAGTACCTACCTTGAAACCATATGGGCAAGTACATCTATAGAAGTCAACTGGATCATTGTTGCAGGTTCCATCATTTTTACATGGATTTGATAAACAGGGGTTACACTTAGCAAGAATATTAACATCCACAGGCCCTTAAAAATACAAATTTGATAGTCAGAAACAAACAACGATTTATATTTGACAGGATATACTTGCCATGTTGCTTTAAATTTAAAATGAAATTTATATTTTAGACTTTGTGGTGTTTCCATACGGACAAAATGCTGAACTGTCCTTAATACTTTTGAAATGGCCAACTAAATTTGAGTAGGATTCTTAGTTTTATAATGACAAAATTCAGGAATTAATATTGACAAAATCTTAAGTTTCAGAAGGCAGACTTAGAGCTTTGGCCTACATAAATCTTACCCTTACAAATAAATATTTTTAGATATTTAATTATCTTTCTGTTGTTTTACAATTTTAATACAGCCTTTTCATGGTGAATTTTGAAGTTAGGCACCATCAATTTTTATATTTTTTTGTAAAACAACCAAAGAAATCGCTGTTTATTTGTTAAAAATTAGAAATCACCTGTGTATAAATAATGTTTCATTTTCATACACTTTGTGACAGAAAAAAGTTTGATTATGAGAAAATAGATGACTTTGCCAAAAGCTTATTAAGAGAATGATCATACATTCTCTGTTATCTCCAACTCTATTGCCTGATGACATTACTGTCTTCAGCTTGATTTCAGATTTCACCTATGAAAAAAAACTTCAGCTATCCACATGTGATTTGTATATTTCAAGGAATAATCAGTGATTTCTTCTAACTAGACACAGAGTCAAAACTCTTGAGACCTATCGGTAGAATTGCACGACAGCCCCATCACAGGTTTTACTCAGGAAGAGACAGACTGCAAAGTTTTCCAGGCTAACAGGCACTTTTACTGAGATATAGGGCTTCGGGGGGGTTTAAGCTTCAATATATTAACTTTCTTTTCTTGTTTTCTTTGCAAAAATAATCTCTCATAAATCACTGTAAAGGAACTGGCATGCAAGGAAGCCATGATTATATGAATTCAGAAAGGGTTGTTAAACAAGAAGAGGTTGACATTTTATTTTTTTATTTATTTTTTAATCTGCAGTTGCTGGTATCCTTCTGTGTCACAGCTTGCAAGCAAATCTAGAGGGATGAACATGTTAATCTGTGATAAGATGCTTACTGCAAAGCCACAATCTGTATGGATCATTGACTTTTCTTGTCTCCATTACCTTATTTTGTAAGAGAAATCTATACCCGATTAAAATTTCTGTTAAACCAGCAAACAGTGGAGGTAGAAGAGTTGAAACATACATCATAGAATTAAAATCTAGAAAGTCCTGTCTGTGTACTCTAGAATCTGCTGATTATTTCTAGAATACATTAAGAGGTTCTGTGAATAAAATAAAGTGCAAGAGGCACATATTTAAAAAACAAAAAAATGGAAACACTGATACAGCATGGAAGTTTATGCTTCCTTACCTCAACTATTCTGAACATCATATTCTCTTTTCTATTTCTCATGCAATAAACAGCTAAATATTTGGCATGAATTAAAAACCATTCAGTAACTAAGATTATTTTCTAAAACAGATTAGCGATCCTAATTTCACTTCCAAAACACAGCCAGAAAATGGGAACCTAAGTCTCAACACAATCATATACATCACTGTATCTGAATTTGTGCTGTGCTTATTTCAAACTATTATTTATGTATTAGCCAATAAAACTTAAATTATGATTTATTATTCTTCAGTTGTAAGATCAAAAAATGGAAGTGTTTCAGGTAGTTTTACTGAAGTCTAATGGAAAGCCAGTTCTGCTACTTATTTTCATTTCCACTCTACTGCTCCTTTCATTTTTCCGCTTGCATGTGTTAAAAGACTCGTACATGAAAAAGAATTGGGTTCATAATCTATTGTTTAGTTTTTCATATGTAGACATTAATATTCTTGAATAAGCCCTACATGTAAAAAAAAAAAATCCTTAAAAAAAAAAGGAAAAAATAAGCAGCATTCTTTAATAAACAGTGAAAAACTAAGAGTATTTTATTGACATAGGCACACACATGTAGCTAACATTTCTGAAGAAAAACATGACACGAACTCCCTCAAAACCAGCTTCTACAGAAACCTATTGCAAGAAAAACTTTCAGCTCTGACATTTTATGACTCTTGTTCTCTCTTGTATATGGCCTCAAAATCAGTATCTACACTGATTCACTTATACTGAAGCTGCTAATGAAATCACCAATTTTAGTACAACAATCGTTTCAGTCAGACAATTTTCAGACCTCAAACCCAGGCTTTTAAAATACGAAAACTGTTCACACAATACATTAAACAATATACCATGAAGCATCAGCTGTAAATTCATCACAGGGGAAAACAAACAGTAAACATGCATGTCTTAGGAAAAAGGACTGCTTGAGGTACACAAAAGGAAGGTCAGAAGGTCTGCTCTTAATCAGATCACCCGTTCCAGGTCTACTTATAACCTTACCTGGTATCAGAAAACCACAAGGCCCTGGAATCTCTAGAGGCAGGGCATGGATGATAAAGAGGTAAAAGATTGAGAATCTGTTAGAGGCCACATAAAAAAGGAAAAATAAATGAAGAAAAACAACTGAAAGAAGAAAAAAACTAATGGATGATTCCTGAAGTAAAAGAACTCATAAGATTAGTAAGGTGCAACGATTTTATGGAGCTTTAGAACTGAGATGAGACTTAATTTTAAAATGCTCATTTTCACTGTGAACTATTAATTATGTAAATAAAATTCAAGCACCTGTTTCAATTTCACTTGAATCAAGAGATACTGATAAGAGGGAATGACTCACTGCTCTCTTCCTGTAAATATTTACACAATAGCTGACCATGAACAGATAATTCTGAAAAGAGTCCTCTCCCTCCTAGGCCAAAATTTTGGTTCTAATAGGAATATAGCATCTTCCTAATTTCTATTCAACAGTTCATTTTTAAGCAAAAGATAGAATTACTTCCCTGTGAGAAACTGGCACATAATTTCTTACAGGGCCATCATGTCATTGAAAAGCTACTGATTTGTAATCTGTAATTATGAGCATCTTCACAGGACAGTGTCAGAAAAATAATTTCTCTCAAAGGTATCCATAATACCAGACCTGCACTCTTGGAAGTGAAACAAATACATTTCTTATTCTGCAAAATAATAGAAAGGATATTTTCTGATGGGCAAGGGGGAGTAAGATGTACTTCTGGATTGTCTGGCAGAAACATAACAATAACTGTAGGCAGGGGTGATACAGTGTTTAAGACTGACAGAGCTGGAAAATAACCAAACAGATCCCTCATGTTCATGAAACCATTCTTTCACTTATGTCCCTACAATAGTGTGTAATAAGAGCATATCTGCAGTAACGTTCAGTGGATACTTGTAGAGAAAAAGAACAGATTGTCCAGCAAATGTCCTATCTAAAATCAGACTAAGAGACTTTGCAACAGATGAATGTCATATGCAATGAACAAAGGCATGATCTCAGAGATGTACTTTTGAAAAACTGCAAGAAGGACTTGGAGGGAGACACAATTCACCGGCATCACAAGCAACAAAAAGGGTTCTAGTGGTTTTTGTTTACAAAAAAGTTTTTTGACAGAAAGCCTAAGGAGAGAAGACTGAATAGGAGGAACATGCAGTAAAGAACAACTTTGGATGTGACAAACTCCAACAAAGTCCCACTGCTTTTTTTAAGAAAGAAATTACTAAGGGATTAAGCTCACCCTTGAAAATACATTAACAGATGAGTAAATCAAAATAGCTTGAAGAGTACCTACACTGAGAATGAATTACTTCTACAAGATTAAAGATCATATTCATCTGATGCCTCAGAAATAACTATAAGCTTAGTAATGACTTACAACTATAAGCACACATAAATTCTGTTTATTTTGTATTTGCTTGTTTGCATTTTTTTTCAATTGGGGATTTCCATGTTTCTAAATCAGCACCATGAAAAAAGAAGCTACAGCAGAAGTTTTCTATGTTTTCAAAATATTTAAGAAGGCAGAAATGGATGGAATAGAAGATTAAACAATAAAACAAAACAAGTTCTCTCTCCATGTGAGTAAAAAAGGTACTTTTCTAAGTAAGGCTCAGAAAAAGAACCTAGGAATTCACAGACAATAACACTCTAAGTTGTGATATAAATGCCAGCATCATTGTTCAGACATGGAGATAAATACTCTTTGTCCAAACCCTGGGAAACCTCTTGAACATTTTAGACTGAGACCTCTATAGTGGTATCACATCCTTTTATCTACAGAGTTTTTTGGGGTGTCTTTTATGCTTTTTTCTGAAATACCAGAGGAAGCATTCTGGACATGTTGGTGCAATTAATTACGGACTAGGAAAGGATTATGGGTGTATTTACAGTTTTTACTGTAAAAAGACTGAAGGAAAGGACATTCGTTAGCTAAGGGAAGTATAGACGTTTAAACTGTAGTTCACAACTGAGACAGTACCAAATACCTGTGTGCATCAGTGTACTGAGAAATACTATACTGCTAGTCCAAAGATTTTTTCACTCCACCTATTTAAAAAGAAATACGCATTGAAGTCTTTAAAATAAGTAGAGTTCCTGAATGGAACCAATGGGTACATCCTTAAGTGTGAGGAAAAATGATGACAATGGTGAGTGAAGATGCTATAAGAAGTGTATTTAGAGCACACAGGACTCTTATTTCACAGCTCAACTATTTGTAAAAACTCAAAATATACACTTCAAAGAGAAACACTACAACAGTACCTTGGCAAGTGAATTTTTTAGAAGGAGTTGTGAGAAGAAGTTTATCTGCCATTTCTCCAGGACCAGCACAACGTGCAATACCAGGCTCTTTGTATTCCGATTTTACCCAGTCAGATAGCCATTGCATGTTACAGTCACAATAAAGAGGATTTGCTCCAATAGCCCTGTCAAAAACAGACAAATAAAAAGGGAATAAAGTTTTAAATGGTTGCTTTTAAAAAGAGAAGCCAGAAAACAGGTTGGCAAAAACTCCTTTCAAACCACAAATCTGCCCTACCTCCATGAAATGGACCATAAGAGCATGAAGTGTCTGGATCTGGGTTCTAAATCAAGAAGTGACAGATTTAGAAGTAAACTTTGTCCAGGAACCTAGCTATTCTTAGCTGCATTATGTGTGAACTTTGGACAGCTAATACTAACTAGCTCTGTTTCACTGTTGGTATTTAATGGCCAAGATCTGCATAAGCAGAATGAAACTGATACTGGGAAATTAAGTTAGCAAGAATAAAGTATTTTCTCCAAAGCAGCCAAGGCAACCCCACAGAATTCCACCCTGATATTTTTCCTTTTCAGTTTATGGCTCCCAGGCTAGTACAAACCATCTGTTTCTAGGCTTCCAAATTTGATTTAATTATTTCCTCTTTGGAGCTCTCCCACTGAACTCACAGCTATGTGCGGAATTCCGTAAGAAGTCTCTGCTGTATAAGTAAATAAAACTACATTATCCTAGCTTTGTGGTAGTTACATAAGAACTGCCTTGTTATGAATGCAAATAAATTTATTTAAATAAATATGATTTGTTTTAAAATTAAAAATAATTTAGCTAGAGATTTTGAAAATTTATTTCTGTAAAGGCTTTTTAAATATCTATTTTCTCTGCTAGAAACTATAAATACTCTTAAAATTTGGAGGATAGAAGCATTGTGCTATTCTATAAAGTTGTACTGCTTTTAAGAAATACAATAATCATGTAAGTTTCAACACATAATCTTGACATCTGCACAAACTGTCTAATAACAGTATTAGAACGTTCTCCTTCTCCAGATGTTTCAGTACTTTCATGCAGATTTTTCCATCACTTTGGATCAATGGGTCTTCCAGTGACAGAAGAAAACCTTTGGCAGCCAAAGGCCATAGAAACTACCACTGATGAAACACTCTCTTCTGCCACACTAAGCAGGAAGCCCTCTCTTAATTATTGCTACATACTTCCAGCTGAACACAAAAAACCATACATACTGTTCAGTCAGGCTTAAGTCAGAGCAGTAACAAAAATCAGGGCTAGTGATAGGGAACTTCCCATGCAAAGAGAAACACCAAGAATTTGTCCACTCCATATATGCAAGAGTGAATGTCAGCCTGAACTGAGATAACACAACTGCTCTGCTAAAATCAAAATGTTAGCAAGGATAACTGGCAGACTCAGGGGTGGGGGTGGGGGAAATAACAACAACAATAATCAAATCTATGTAAGTTTTACTGATATTTCATTCAGATAAGCTAGTTTAATAGTAATGTTTGAATAAATTATCAATGACAAAGTTTAATCAGCATCATTAAGTTTCTGAGAAATGGTAAATTAAATGCAAATGTCCAATACTGAACTAAAAACAGATAATTAAGTTTTTAACAACTGCAGCTGTTCAGAAACATAAACCCCAGCTATATATGAAGGCACTAGTCAACTTCTCAATTGCAAGCAAGGATTTAATAACTATTCATAAACACAATGAGGTTGACAGGTAAGTAACTTTTTCTAATGTAAGTTTCCCACTGAAAATTAAAATCAAGACAAGTATTGCCTAAAATCATGCTCTGAAAGCAGATGTCATGTATTTAATGTCAATTTAGCACACATCAACACAGAATAATTTCGGGCACTCTGGAGGTCATCTAATCTCACCTACTGCGCAAAGCAGGGCTCACTTCAAAGTTGCTCAGTGCTGTGTCCAGCTGAGCTCTGAAAATCTCAGGGATGGAGATACTTCCACTTCTTTGGGCAACCTGTTCCAAAGCTGAACCACCCTCACAGTGAAGAATTTTCCTTTATGTTCTATCAAACTTCCCTTGTTGCTGCTTGTGACTGTTGACTCCTATTCTTCACTGCGTGCTTCCGAGAAAAACCTGTCTTCATCATTGCTGTAATCCACTTGGTGGCTTAAAGACTATTAGGTCCCTCCTTAGCATCTTGTCACAGCTCATCTGATCCAGCCACCTTCCAACCTTGCTTGCCCCTGACCTGGATTTGCTCTGGTTCATACACATTTGCTTTGTACTTGAGAAACTGAACACATATTCCAGATGTGGCTTTAGGAGGGCCAAGCAGAAGGGAGTGACCACTATGCTCAATCACCTGGCTGCTTTCTTTCTAATTCAGCCCAGAGAGTCTTTAGCTTTCATTGTCATAAGGGCATATGGCAGTTTGCTGCCCACCAGGAGTTTTCCCTGCTGAGCTGCTACCTCTCTGGCCAGTCCGCAGACTCTACCAATGCATGAGCTTGTTCTAGGGCAGTCCTTTGCCTTCTGTCTTTGTTCAAGTACATGAAATTTGCTAAACATAACAAAAAATAAGTTATCATCTGAATACTCACAGGTGTGATAATGCTGAAAGATCATTAAAAGCTCCTTCAGGAACAACAGAAATATCATTGCCATGTAAAGACCTTAAAAAGAAAATAAACAGAATAAAATATATACATAAAAATCAGTGGGTTATATTTGAAAATTTCATCTTTGATGAATGGATTTCAACTTTTCACATTCTTTTTCTTCCAATTCTTCAGTGTTTCCATCTGTTTGTTTGGTATGGTTGTGTTTGGTTTTTTTAAAGCTCTGACAGCCTACACATCATATAATTTGTTCATCCTACGTTTTCATAAGAAATGTTAATAACATGATTATTTTTAAGTGGAAAGAATAAAGGTGAGTAAAAGTAGGCACACTTCTCTAAAGTACTGATTGGATTTAGGGATAGCAGACAAGTTATATTTCTGATTTTTTCAGCAGTTCCCTGAAATCCCATTAATTACGTTCACACTTTTTTTTAATCTTTGATGGACTGATGAAAAATACAGGCATTGACTTTTCATCAATGTAAGTATTAAGGTTATTGCCCTAATATGATAGTAAAGTTAAAGAACTAAAGACTTATTAAACATCAATACTAGGAATAGTGTTCTCCCTCCTGTAGCAAACCTGAAAAGAATATCTCTCCTTTTCTATAAATTCATTCATTCACATGTATATCTAACACATGTAGAATTATGGTTCTTGAAATTATTCATATTTATATAAAATAACTGAAGTTATGTGTGCACACTTAAATAATGCCATGCTTGAGACATTTAATCCAACTAAGCTATTAAATGATTATAAACTACCCAAATAGAGGCAAAAATTACCTCTTTTTGAGGGGGCTTTTGAGAAAGAATTTTTGCAGGTTTTTTTCCTTAATGACAAACCAAAGCTGTAAACTAGACTGACTGTTCTGTATTTTCCTTTGTCTCTTTCTGTGCCCTTACAACCATGTTTTTCTGAGTGGTAAACCAGAAAGTTTTCTTGGAACTAAAATTTAATATTATTGATTTTCGATAATTCACCATGATGTAATGGCTTTGGAAATACTCCCATATTAAATGGAACAAGAAAAAAATAAATCTATTGTTGGAATAAAAAGATTCAAAATTCAACTGCAAAACCCCCTCGTATATATGAGAAATTTATGCATATGGCATTTCTGTTATACTTTAATGCTTACAACAAGGGAGAACATAACACAAAAAAGAAATACAGCCAGGATGAAAAAGCAGAAAACTACAAAGTATAAGTCTGTATATACAATGTTGTCAAGGTTCACATAACTTCTTGTACAGCATTTTGAGCGTATACTTCCTCAGAATAAAGCCACTTAGATTTTTAAGGCTATGTAACTATTACTTCTCAGACACTTGGTAGGGTTTAACTGCCTACAGATTTGCTATCTGCTGTACAAAACAAAAAAAAAATAATCTGGAAAATAGCAATGGTTAAAAAATAATACTTACAACAACCTAAGTGATTTCAACCCATCAAAAGTCCGTGCAGGGATACACCTCAGACGGTTGTAACTCAGAATTCTGAAAATATATAAAATACTGTCAGCAAGTATATCAACCATTCAGTAAACAATGCAGAGCATGACCAAACCCAGCTTTTGCACACATAGCTAGTTAGGAAACAAGTTATTTTACAGCCTCCAAAACAAGCAAGCTTTAATACCAACTAAATGCCCTTTCTTTCCAAGACAAATAAAAAACCAACACCAAAACCAAAAACCAACAAGAAACAACAACAGACTGTAATGCTTCCAAAGAGTCACTGTTACATGTTTAAACTTACAAGGTGAGCAGCTGAGTCATGTTGCTGAAGCTCTGATTAGAAAGAGTGCTGATTCTGTTGTTACTTAAATCTCTATAAAAAATAAATTCAGAAATTCAGACCTTAAAATGACTGCCTCAGTCCTGAAACACTGGAAGTTAAACTGACAGACACATTATTTTTGTTAGTAGAAGCAGTATCATCACTATCAATATTTAAAGCAGCACATACTTTTATTTTACATGCCATATACAAGCCCAGTGAGTGTTTAGCTTGATCAATGAAAAGCATTTTCATTTCAACACAGATGAAAAAGCAGCACAATGCATTCTTGTACAACAGCAATGTCCATCATGCTACTGAGTTAATAATGTAATCCTACATGAACCCAAGTATAGAAATGAAAGTGGTGTCTTAAAAGTAGAAATCATTCTAGTTGTGTCCCTAATGACACCTATGTAAATATCATGTGGTGCTGTACTTAACACTGATATGCTGAAGACATCAAAGCCCAGAGCTATTATTATAAAGAATACTATCTAAGATTTATAGAGAAAGCCTTAACATCTTTCTTGGTTTTCAATATTCTGAATAAAATCTTAAGCATAAGTATGATGGAAACTGGAGTGGTATGCTGGTAGCTTCAAAGAAGCTTTGAAGAAGCTGTATTAAATGTGAATAGTGCTTGTTCTTTATTCCCATATTGTGCTTTAGTTTTCTTTTTATGTCTACTATTTCACTATTGTTTACTGTATTCTGTGGTGTAATACAGCATTGGTTTCTGAGAAGACCTTGATATTTTAACTTCAGAGTACTGTTAAATAGCTATGCAAGATACATACTTCTCCTCTTAAAATTTCATGAAAGCATGTAAGACAACTGACTCATAATAATAAACATATTGGGCAAGTATAACAGAGCAATCTATTCAAAAGAGAAAGAAAAAGTTAGAAATAAACAATTTCCTTTGTTAATCTGAAACTCTGGAGACTTGTGTGTAATTTCTTATTTGGCCACAGAAGAACTATGCATATGCATAGTATTGTAGTTTTCCAAGCACAGCTGAGGAACATTCTCAACTTTGTAACAGCAGTTTGAAAATACATTCAGAAGAGATTACAAAAATGTGCCCGACAGGTCTGATAGAGACTGTTAATACTGGTTTCATTTGCATTTTATTTACTGTTTATCTATTATATATTGTGTTACATTTGTCTGCTAGCTAATTTGTATATATTTTCTAATTAGGAAGAGGAAAAGGTTTTTTCTGATTTCTGGCTGTGTTTGTCACGAATACACCAAGAGTATTCCATCTTTGTGATGGAAGCCTTGACACTATGCTTCATCTTTAGACATATATCTAGTCTCCACTGATACTGTCCAGTCAATACACAGTCCAGTCAATACCCTTGCTTCTTTTATGGAGGTTCCAAAGTTTGCATTTTCTGTGTGCTGCAAGTTATAACTTCCCAAAACAACCCACCAAGATTTCCGATAGGTTCTACACTTGAGAATATTGCAAGGGATTTTTCCCTGACATTATTTGCAAAATACAAAAGCTTTGGAAAGTTGTTTTTTCTAAATTTGTGACCGTGACCACTTTTGTCTAGCATGAGGTAAATAAAGGAAATCAAGATCTTGTTTTTGAATGCCAAACCATTTTCAGGTTTTGCAGAAAAGCTCTAAACCCAGTCAAAAAGAAATTTAAGGGATTTTGTTACTCCTGTCCACTTTTTATTCTTACTATAATGAAACCACAAACTGCTTTCAGAATGTTACACAGTTCAACCTCAGCCAGTATAAATTTTTGTAGTCCTAACAAAAGCCATGGAATTACAGCCACTTGCATCTACATTCTTCCTGTTTCTCTTGCTGTACTCTTACAAGGTACATAAAGAGGTAATAAATTTTAGAGTAGCTAGTGATCTGCCTCAGATCACAGAGTGAGTCATCAAGAGTTGGCAATAAGGCGTACTAGACAAGTGACAAGCCTTCTTCTACAGTCATTAAAGCATGTAGTGTGGGAGAAACAGAAGGGGTTCCATTGAAGTGTTAGAAGAGCTGTCTGCGCTATTCCTATGTGAAGCACACCACTGAGCAAAGTATATAACAGAATATTTCTTTTGTAAATTAAATGATTCTAGTGCCTTTATGGAGTTGGGTACAAAATGCTGTATTACCCTAACACCTTACCCTAATTACCCTAAATCACTAAGTTAGGTAAAAGATCTTACCTATCTTTTCAGGTTAACTATAATTTCTGGTTATTTACTTTATGATGTAATCACTGCAATGAAATACCCCTGTTTATAAAGCTGGAGAGGGACTCTTCATCAAGGACTGCAGCGATAGGACAAGGGGTAATGGGTTCAAACTAAAACAGGGGAAGATCAGGTTAGATATAAGGAAGAAGTTCTTTACTGTGAGGTGGTGAGGCACTGGAACGGGTTGCCCAAGGAAGTTGTGGATGCTCCATCCCTGGCAGCGTTCAAGGCCAGGTTGGACAGAGCCTTGGGCAACACGGTCTAGGGTGAGGTGTCCCTGCTCATGGCAGGCGGGTTGGAACTAGGTGATCTCAAGGTCCTTTCCAACCCTTACCATTCTATGATTCTATGACCAAGTGTATTATACATAAGATGTGATAAGTAGAATAAAATATTCTCTGTTATAAATTGTGGTTAGGTACAATATTTGCTAAAAGATTTTTTTTTTTTTTTTGTTATAACTAAACCCAGGTATAATGAAGTAGGATATTTTGCTTTGTTTTTCATTGCAGTAGAGACTGTTACTCTAAAACTACTTACATGAGTGTCAAATGCTTGTAGTAGGAAAGCTCTTTTGGAACAAGGGTAAACTGATTTCCATCCAAATAACTAAAATAGAAAAATAAAACATAGAACATAAGTTTTTCATTAAAGCAGACGCATCTTCATGCACTAATCTTAGAATCCAACAGCAAAGTTAATAACAAATTAATGCATACTATTTCTGTTTTATAAGAAACCTTTCTTAGAAATTTTGGTTTTTAGAGACACAAGTGAGGACCTGTAGCCTAAGATCCAAATGCTATTGTATGAGATATTATGATAATTATGAAGTAACAGTAATAACAGCCAACTCTTACACAGTACTTCCTATTATTTCATAAAGACTGAAAAATGATGCCTTTATCATAGCTGTTTCACACACCCCTGTAGAGGTAAAAAGCAAATCTGACTTCTGCAAGTCACTTTAAGTGTGGGTTTTGAGCTATTGTAAATAGGAGCAAACCCTGACATTGTAGAGCTAGTCATTTACAGTAGAAATAGCAAGGGCTGGTCCCAGTTCTAACACCAAATTAATTTGTCATGCCTGCACTTTGGGTCACCTTCCCTAATTTCTCCCTGTCTATTCCATAGTATATCAGGCATGACATACTACAAACCTCTTCCTACAGAGTATGTTAGGGACTAAAACCAGTAATCAATTACCCTTCACTAGGAAAGTAGTGTTTTTTCTGTAGGTTTACAGCTCCTGTATTACATTGCTTGCTTCTTCCTCCATGATAATAATTCTCAATAACAGGCTTGTTATCCTTAGAGTTAACAGGTACCGTCACCAGACTCTTATCAGCACCTGAGTTACAGGCAAAAGAAGTCATCAAGCCTTGTCTAAAGAGCTTTGTGTGCAGTTAGTCATTGCAAACTGCAAGTGGAGGGGTTCTTCCTGCAACAAGGGCAAGTAGATTAGAGTTGATAAGAAAGTGCTGAATTTACCTGATCCTCTGAACAGGCAGTGTCTGAAACAGAAAGTGGCAGGAAGATTAAAGTCTCTTGTTTCTAAACTGGGGAAAATGATTTGATGGTGGTATTGTGGTGGTATTACTTGTGTCTCCTGGAAACCAAATAAAAACTACACCCTTGTTATCCCTATACAAAGAAGATATTTCAGCCATCCAAATACTTTGGGCACACTTGAGTTAAGAACAGCCTTTGTCAGAGACATTCTTAGATTAGTTATGAGCTTAATGTCTCTAAGTATGCTGCAGCATCTTTAGAAACTTTTGTCTTGACTAAATGGATAGGCTGAAACACAGTTAAACTGATATCCTTATATCTACATCTAATAAAAAAGCTTTTTCTTTTTTTTTTTTTCCCCTTGGACCTAACCTTCTGTAGGGCTGCTTGCCAAACCCAAACGTGTCTCAACAAGTTTCATGCTTACACTATGTTAATGGCATTACATAAGTGGTGGTGAAGAGAGCATGGGCTCATATACGTCATTATTAAAAAAGAAACCAACAACATTTTAACTTTTTGAAAAAGAGTTAGTATTCTGAGAAAATTCTTCTATTGACAGATAAATTAGGATATATTGCTTTAGCTTCATTAGAACTAAAGTACTGCAAGTATCCACTTGTCTGATAAAAATCCCTCCTTGTTCAAATGAAGCAACTATTAAGATATTTTATAAAACACATGAAGACTACATCTTGGAAGGGTTATGCATGCTAATGAACAAGAAGAATCAATCAGTATGCAACTGCTAACAGGAACCACCTTCATTATCCTTTTGAAAAATATGCTAAATTGCATGCTTAGACACTAATTAAAGCATACAAAACTGTACACAAGTGAGTTTTCAGTCACAGTCAGGGTTCCACTTGCAATTCCAAAAGTACCTCCCGTTAGCTACTTAATTTTATATTGCATTGATGCCCTTAAATTTCTTACACCAGACCATATTTAATTAAGTCAGTTTCTACTACAAAAAAACAAACAAAAAACCACCACTGAATCCTAATGAAGTAAGTTATAGGTTTATATATAGCTGTGTGCTAATTTGAGTTCTTAATAATTTCTCTTCATTAATGACTAAAGCTTTTTGGATGTTATTAAGCACCAAACTAGTAGTGGACATGTCTGAATCTTCTATATGATCCCAAATGGTGAAAGAATAAAACTGTTTTAGTGACTTAAGATACACAGTTATGATGTCTTCTGAAAAAAACACAACATTAATCAGTTGTTATGAAGCAGTAGTAATTTATTTGCCATATGTAACACAAAAATTATTGTCAATAACTTCTATTTCTTTCAATCTTGTGACCTATCTTATCAAGATTCAAAACAGACTAATAACCCAATTTTTAGGTTTATTTTCCCTTTCATAATGCATAAAAATCAACTCATCTAGTCTTCTTCAGTTATTGTCTTCAAACAATATGTGAGGTAGGAAGCTCTTTTTTGTATCAATGTTACTGTCCATCTGCATATTCATATGATACCTTTTCATAAAGAGCAATCTTACCATTTCTCTCATATAAAAAGTATAAAATTAATAGATAAATATA